AAAAGAAATTATTTATTTTTGACAATGATCATAATTTACGCTCTATTTAATGGGCATCGTTTACCATAAAATAGAATTGAAAACATGTAAAACTTTGAACCCTACACTGATTAAATCTATTAAAACCAGAGTTTGGCAAAGACTATTTTGTTTTTGCAGATTGATGCTTCTTCTGATAGGATTATCATAACTTTGGCAGATTAGCTTCAAGTTGTTTTGTTAGAAGCGGCAAAAACACTTGGATTTTGTTATTTCTAGTGCATATGTTTTAAAATTTGTTTTAAATAATTTCTTGGATGATTGCATAAATTTTTATCCTCGGTGTCAGTCTAGTTGCAGTTATGTGTCCTAAAACTCACAATTCCAGGCATAAAAGACATAGTCAGCTCTCATTCAAGGCTGTCAGAAAGTCATTATTAATGAATGGAAATGCACTATCTGCTTGCCGAACACTTGACATGTTTTAAGTAATTCGACTTACTGTCCGAAAAAATTGCTGACATTTTAGGAGTATTAACGTTTCACTTAAGCAATATCAAACAGTAAATAGCACGAGAATGGAACTTCATAAAATGCTGCTACTTAGCCAAACTTGTATTCGGACGATGTACAGTAAAAGGATATACTTTAAAACTTATTATGTTTTAGGAGATAAAGCACTAATGATTTCTCGTTTACTTGCCAATTTTATGGCCATTTTTATTTCTCCACTTGCCGGTATCATATAATTTAATGCAACTTAACGAGTTTGCTATTGTAATATTTCCATGGAAGCGATAGACTTACCTCCACGTGGTGCATCCTGGGCAACATATACTCATACGGCAAAAAAGTCTATTAACAGGCAGTTGACTTCTCACTTCAAACTACCATCACCCCACTGTATGTCATATTCGACCCCTTCCACAGTACTCATCTAGCCTTTTCTCTGCCTTTGTGTCTGTCTCTCTTACATCTTTGAAACACTCTTCTGTTCCTCCCTCCTCTCGACTTTTTTTCACTTTGATGTTCCTTCCCCTCTGTGTAGCCCGAAGTCAACTAAAGGACAACTGATAACTATCTAAGCGCCTGCCATTTGATATAAGTAAATATTTATTTATGGCATTCTGTACTAACGTGTTTTTTTTTTGTACCACACCTTTTGGTGGGTTCACATTTATTTTAAGGCTCAACTCAATTTTTACAGTTATGGTAATTTGAGTGTGGCATATTCAAAACACCGCAATCCCAGTGGGGGTAGAAATAGTGAGTCAAAAATTTGTTTTATTGTAAATGGATTAATAATAAATTAGGATAGAAATTGCCATTTTTCATTAAAAGAGCATAATCAATAATTTTGCATCCTTTACTCCAAGTTACTAAAATATGGCATTTCCCCTATTGTTTACACTTATCTAATTATATTTGCTTTGTTAACACTCCCATATGGTGTGCCGCGGTAGCGCAGTTAGATCTTCCGAACACCAGCGAGAAAATAACTTGAACTTCGACGACTTCGGCTCAAAAAAATCATAATTTAATTGCGCTTTGACAAATGTACTTAACGCAATTTAGTAACCAAGGCTACACTAAAATTTGCTCTTGCTGCACCACTTTGAACTTCATTCTCACTAATAGGTAACGCAGTTACATTTCAAGGTCATAAATTCGGTCATATAAATGGCTACATTCGTGGATTGCTATTGTCCAGATTTGTGCAACCCCTCGGGATTTAAATTGTTCTGTTATCTATAAACAAACAAAGATATATGGATAGATCGAGGGCGTTCTCTTTTAGGCTAATTCAGTTAACCTGAACTTTGAACAAAACGACAAGGCAAGTGCTCAACAATCTCATGCCGACCAAATTTACTAATACAACAGAAAATTCAGCATGTTGCCGCTTATGTCTCTCCGGAACAAAAGAATTTATGGAATAAAATAAATACGGAGGTCTGTTAGGCATGAGAAACTGAGTCTAAATGAAGACATTGTAAATTGATTATGAAATCCAATTAATTTGTCTTCATTAGAAATATTTTTAATCGAGTAAATTAAAAGTTTTAGGCAATTTTTCATAAATAGAAGGCCTTTCATTATGCTGGAATGTGTAGAGAATTGGTACACGAATAAGCCTCAACTTTCCCCAGGAATCTCTATGACAAAAGGACCTAGTATGGAATGGCTCCCGAATTTAGCTAAGCTGCCCCAACGATATTGTGAAAATAGACCTGGAATACGCTTATTTGAACGGCGTGTGGGATGTGTTGTTGATACGGCGTTTAATCATTAGGCACCGTTTGTGTACGATGATCTGTAGTTTTTATTGATTATCGATTGGTGAAGAGGTCTCTATACTAGTGAACTCACTTTCACCTTAACGTGGCCAGCACCACGCCGCACGTTCCAAAATGTTCTAGCACGCAAAGCGTTGCTTAGTCTAATTGTGTACTCTAAATAAGGCTTTTCGAACCTACTGCCTCTTAACCTGAATGGAAGCAATATTTTCTGCTTGAAAATTGGCTTTAAGTTTAAATTAATGCATTGTTTATAAGTGGCTTTGATTAACATAATCAAGTAGTTCGGTGTATGGGGTGTCCCACAGACTTTCCTTCACGTGGTGCACCCTGGACAACGTATACTCATAAGGTAAAAAAGTCTATAAACCGACAGTTGACTTTTGACTTCAAACTACCATCACCCCACTGTATGTCATATTCGACCCCTTCCACAACACTCATCTCCCCTATTCTCTACCTTTGTGTATGTCTGTCTCTTCCACATCTGTGAATCACGCTTTTGTTCCCCTCCTGAATAATTCTCACTTTGATGTTCCTCCCTCTGTGAAGCCCGAAGTCAGCCAGATGGCTAATGATAATTATTCAAAACGCCTGCCATTTGAAATAAAGTAATTCGGTGTATAAACAAATTTTTCAAAATAACGTGTGAAATTCGCACACACACACGAGTATGTTGAGTGCGCAACGCTACTAAAATTGATCAAAGGGACCCCATACACGCTCAAAAGCCTGGAAAGTGCGGCCGTGTAGCGAGCAAGTGCGCAATTTCAATCGACCTGCCGATGTGACTCCTGCGCTTTGCTTTGACTTGACGAATAGGGCCGTTCTATGCTGTGTGCTTCTTTGAGGATCGAAGATTTTGGATATGGTATTCTATGGGAAAGCCCAGATTTAACAAAGTTTTTGGTGAAGTATTTATCGATTGTGAGAAAAATCTACCTATATGCAGTTCATAATGTTGACAAAGTGCCCTGGGAGTAACGTGGAAAACGTCCGATTCTTTCATCAACCTCTTACGAGTACAAATTTTGCCCAATGGGATGCTCGGTACCGTGAAATTTATGGAAACAGCATAATACACTCCCCCCCCCCCCCCCCGCCTTCCCGTCAGTCGAATTACCAGGCTGCTCTGTTAATTTGGTCATGATCTCTGATTGGTTGGATCCTATCAAACTTACTTAAGGATTAAAAACGATTAAAAAGTTTTGTTCGACCGTCGGTGATAGCAGTTTTTTCTTCAACAGACGCTATAGATTATCCGAATTGGTCGTACTCGAAGAGGAAGGTACTCAACATTAAGTAGATATCGCTAAGCGGATAAGGACTAGTTTTGGATTTGGTTCCCTCAAGGAAGAGTAAGTTAAGTCTCGCATTTTCATTCTTAGTGCCACGTCTCCATTGTATGCTGAGTCTAATAAAAATTCTATCCCTCTCGGACAAAGTACCAGAGGTTAAGAAGTCCGATCGAGGACCCGAATTTGCTGCAGGGCCGTGAACAGCGAGTGTTCCACCTGAAAATGCGTGAAAATTACCAAACATCCACCGACCTAGGGGACTCACTAATCCTTGCAGCGATCATTCGATGGCTAACAATAGCAGCCATTTCCTTAACATCGACACTGTGCAACTCTACGGGTCGGTTTGATGTGAGAATACATTCAAGGGGAGGACGATTTCCGAGCAGCGGTACATTGAAGGTCGAAATATCAACCTAGTGGCCTTGACTGAATCAATGATCTCAATCTTATACAGATGAAAACGAAACCTGTCAATCACCTACTCTCAAACCAACAACTATGAAGAATCTCGCAAGAGGACGCAACCAATATTTCCATGTTGACGAAATACCTCTTCCAACTATTCTTACTCAATTATCCAAAGCAGATTCTCACAGGACACAGCTGCGACTTACCACCTACGATTTCACTTGTACATTCGAAAGAAACCTTCGTTAGGGAACCAAAACACAATTGGGCTGCTTATGGTTTGCCACTTCTTGCTCTGATCGTTTAATTAATTACCCAAAATAAAGGTCGAAATTCGAGGTTAGCAGACTCTAGGAAGAGGCTATCAAAACAATCTCGTACCCCAATATCCCCTGAAGAGCGGATATGGTGCTGGGTATCCTGAATACATCTACACACCTATAGCTTAAATCATAGAGCAACAATACCTACGATGCGGAGACTGGAAAGAACACTAGGGTTTGAGAACACAAGCAACTCGGACCACGGCGTCTGATCGGCCAAATGGTGATATCCCTGCTCGTATCCCTCCTGCACATTTCACCGATCCTGAATCTCATCGTGGTCCACCCAATACATTTTGTCCCACAAGACGGTGTCTCTAGAAGCATGCACACATCTGCACAAGAATAACTCCTACAATTTGTTGCCCCAACTGTTATATGGCGCTATCAGATTGTAATTTTAACTGATGCAAGTTCTTAAGCAGTCTAAGAGTAGGTCGCGACATCCTACAGAGCAGTGAAAATCATAGCAAACTTGCATCACCAACATCTTAAAAGAAGCCTTCGATTCTTTTTTAAAAAAAATTTATTTTTAAACGGTAATTCAAAGGGGGTTTTGTCAAGAAAGGTCAACAAGACTTAGACTTCAAACTAAATTAATTATAATGATGGGAAAATCAATCAAAAAGACATAAAAAAGAGGACGAAGTGAAATGCTGCTAAAATATGGCAACACTGATACCGGATCCAAGTTAGTTGTTTGGTTTACAGAGGGGTTCTGTCTCCCGCAGAATCCAATCACGAGTTCGTCTACGGGCAGGACTCAGCGCATCTCCTTCCATGTTATGATGTTCCCCTTCAACCGCGGCAATTCGAGAGAGTAAACGTTCACGTACAGTTGCGTGGTAGGCGTCAACCCAGGCCACCGCTTCCGGACCCAACGCTTCTACGTCAATTAGACGGCGTTGGAAGGGTACTAGAGTCAGAGCCTCGAAAGCGAGAAATTGGGTGGTGGAGTTGCGAGCCGTTTGACCACTGTCCACAACGAGAACCACGTTTTCCAGGCGGATTCCGTGCTTACCGTCGACGTAGTAACCAGGCTCGATTGTAACCACCTGCAAGAAATGAATAAAGTAAAAAGAATTGTCAAATGCCAAAAGTTAGCCACAGCAATAAAATACGAATGAAATTGTAAACATATATAAATATACCAAAAAAAATAAATATACAATGGTATACAAGGGTTTAAGAATCATGCTACTTAAGTGTAGTGTGCACCATTATATTACGTGATTGGCCCACTGATTACGCCGAAGGGAGATTTTCTAGAACATCGAAATGTTTGAAGGCTTTGGTTCTGTTACTACTGTTCATCTGTCAACACCAAATGTTGCTAGCCGCAGTTGACTCGAAATTTAAGAGTGTGCTAAGGCAGAAGAGTGTTTATAACAGGATCATCAAGAATATGAATGAAACCAGACCTTAGAAACTAATGATACATATCAGTTCAAGAATTGAACTACTACACATTACTCATATTTAGATTGAATAAAGTATCCAGTGCAGTCCACATTAAAGACACCTATCAATTGAAATGATTCAACGTTTGATGAACAGAGCATTGCAAAATTTCTCCTGCTAGTTAATTGCCTAAGAGCATTGATAAGCGCTGAAGGTAAAGCGCTGTCATCATAGCGTCCCTACGAAGCCACAATGCATATCCAAAGACTAACAGCGAAGATTATAACACGTCATTAGAAGGCCTAGAGGGAAAGTGTTAAAGTCTCAAGAACTCATCTACTTCGAGGCACTACGTAAATGCCACAAAGACTCGGTATTTTGTATCAGAAAACATTTAAACGATTAGCCTAAAATCAAAAATTGACCTTGCCAATAGAGATAACGTGCGTGTAGCCCCCCAAAAAAACAACGAATTCGGTTGGAAATAAATAGACTTTAAAATAGTACCTAAATCTGCGATTCTATTGTATGCAACCCCCCTCGCCCCCACCCCCACCCCCCTCCTGTGTCTTAGGCGAACGGCACTACCCAGGCCTCGAATTTTGTCATGAGCAAATTTATGGATAAGCACAGTTTTTGTTTAACAAACGCCCTAAAAGGTTTACACATTTTCGTCTTCTAAAATTTTCGAAGGGTTACGAAATCGAGCGACAAACATATTTCAAAAAAGTTAGTTTTTGCGGTGATATGGCCAATGGGGGCATTCCCTTTGTTCACCTCCAAAAAAGGACAAACTCAACGCCTGGAGGGAAAATGCTTGAAGTAAGCATTGAGGAATAAATATCGAAGGAGCCTAAGTCCATTGGCTTTGTTTCGACTGAACATGTTTGAGCGTATTCACTCCCCCCCCCCCCCCCCCCTCCTCTCTAAAGTGCTCACATGGGAACACAAAATTTCTAATATTTTGCTCAGACTGAATTTCAAGTCACAAAATTAATTTGTTTCTTCCAAACTACACTGCGCTTTCTAAGAGAACGAAAAGCACTAAATCCTTAAGACACTATGAACTCAAATTAAATACCAATATAACTTGGATTAATGAGGGTAATATGGTACTTCGTGTCATGAAAGGGTATAAAAATCGTCTTTAGCGTTATGGTTAGCCTTCAATCTATATGAATTGCAAAGAAATGTAGACTTAAGACAATACATAGATTAGATCAAATCAAAACTTTAGATACTTAACCATATCCTTTTGAATTCCTGGTTCAGCAATGCCCAGGGAAGGGTAGGCCTGGGATCGTCGACCGGACATGCCGATGGGTCCCTCGTGGACGCAGAGATTGGCACCCACTCCGTGACCGGTTCCGTGAGCGTAGTCTCGTCGATCTCTCCACATTGATGCTCGGCACACCGCATCCAGTCGTGTACCTGGTGTGTTATCCGGAAATGTCTAGTCGGGAAAAACATGTACATGCATATACAGTGTGCTAGGGATAAATTTGTCAGTCACATAAGGAAAAAGAAATTGACTGGTTAATACAAATCCGAATAGAAGAAGAAGTCCAAAAGACGAGGAAATCACTCAATTTTCATGTAGTTCTAGTCAAAATAAACGCCGTTAGTGTCTATTCTTCCCCAAACCCGAGGAAAGCAGATCTTATACTTTGCATTGAAAGGGCCTCAATATATGCTTCAACTCAGCTTATTGAATGACTGGCTTAACTGCAGTGACCAGCAATTTCGTGAAGCTAAAACATGGCGAATTCCCCCTGCAGTGTTAAGAGAGCATTGATCAGAGACCATATTTCCCTTATTTTGATGGTCATCACGACTCATCATTGTGACAAATACTTCTCCTCACCAATTTAAGTGGGTTGCAGACATCACGCATTTTCGTCTAACCTTTTAAAGTGTGTGTGTGTGTGTGTGCGTGTGTGTGTGTGTGTGTGTGTGTGTGTGTGCGCGTGAAGACACCTCTAGCACATCTGATAAAAACAAACACACTTCTGGACAAATGATCCATCGAATACCCCAGTATGCACAACGAAAATATTGAAAGCAAAACAAATTATGAATTCATTAGAAGTTAATTACACCAACACTAGAAATTCGTAAAAAGTAATTTTAACATAGCACCCTTAGCAATATAATCATACATGGTCGAATGGTTGAATTGGGAGTTTCATATACGAAGTTATCACAAAGATAACCAGCCAAGCTTCAA